AATCCAAGAATTTTCCTGCTGGAACTCCAAAAGCACATTTTACCGGGTTTAGACGAATATGGTATTTCCGTAGCTTTTGGAATGTCCGTTCCAGATCTCGAATATGGTTGGCAATGTCGAAAGTTTTAACGATCATATCATCGATCTATACTTCTACATTCTTGCCCAGTTGATCTTCGAACACTTTATTCATCATTCTTTGGTACGTAGCCCTAGAGTTTTTAAGCCCAAATGGCATCACATTGTAGCAATAATTGGCATTTTCAGCAATAAAGGCAGTTTTCTCTTGATCTTCAGGATACATCATAATCTGATTATAACCAGAATAAGCATCCATGAAGGATAGCAATTGGAATCCAGCTGAATTGTCCATTAGCTGATCTATGTTAGGCATAGGATAAGAATCCTTTGGGCATACCTTATTTAAATCTGTATAATCAGTACAGACTCTCCATTTGCCATTAGGTTTTTTCACCATAACGACATTTGCAAGCCAGGTTGTATATTGTATTTCGCGAATAAACCCGGCATCCAGCAATTCCTTCACATGTTCCTCCAGAACTTGTTTGCTTTCTGGCCCAGCTTTATTTTCTTTTGAGAAACCAGCTGCGATCCCGGGTAAACTTCTAGCTTGTGGCAGCAAAAAGTTGGGTCTATGCCAGGAATTTTTGATGACTTCCATGCAAAAACATCTGTGTTGCTTTTTAGAAATCCGGCTAACTCTTCCTTGACGTTGGGATATATGGTCTTATCAATTCGGGTAAATTGACCAGGTTCTTTTCCCAGTACAAGGTCTTCTAATTCCCCATCTGGCTCTGGCCTGGGAATCACTTCTTCTCTCAATCCAGTTCAACCATATTGATGGGTTTTTCTGAACAATGAGAGATTTCCTTCTTGGCAACTTTGTCCCCCTGACGTATCCGGGGTGGACTTAGATGTCCACCTTCGTTCCCTTTCACTGTTTCAAAGTAGCATTCTCTAGATTCTTTCTGATCACCACTGATGGTAATAATCTCATTTTTGCTGCTTACTATCTTTATCTTTTGATGCTTTATGGAGACTAGCATGTCCTATTTATGTATGGTTGGTATCCCTAGAATTACATTGTATTCTGATGGAAAATCAGCCACTATAAATCTTACTCGTTCTGACTTGAATGCTTCCTTTGTCCCAGGGTTAACCTGAGGTCTATGTAGCCTTTAGAAGGTGTATTTTCTCCATTTAAAGCTATCAAGGTTGTCTTACAGGGCTTGAGGTCCTCCTCATCAAGATTCATCTTTTTGAAGGCACCCCATAGTATAATGTCGACACTACTTCCTGCATCTATGAAGATCTTCTTGACCCGACAACTCACTAGGGTTCCAGTGATGACCAGCCCATCTACATGTCCTGGAAACACACCTTGCATATATTCTTTTGTGAAATAGCATAGAGGAGGTTCTGGTTTGCTGGGATCCTCCTTGAATTTAGAACGATCCTGGATTGAAAGCACCTCTTTCAAATACTTTCGCCTAGCACTGACAGTGTCTCCTCCTCCTCCCAAAGCTCCACTGATCACATTACAATCAAATTCTGCTTCCGGGAACTCATTGTTATTGGAATCATCTTTTTGATTCCTTTCTTCCTTCTTTTTCTTCTCAGGGACCGAACTCTTGCTCCTCTTCCTGTTTCCAGATTTTTTGTTGTTGTTCTTAGCACCCTGAGTTTTGATCACATACTGGCGTAGTTTACCTTCTCTAACAAATTTCTTCACAGCATCTCGGAGGTCCCAGCATTGATCCGTATTGTGACCTGGTCCATCATGAAAGGTGCAATATTTGAATTCACCCAAACCTCCTCTATCAAATGTGGGTCGTGGTTTATCTACCTTTTTCATCTCTGTCATTGCCGCTTCCCTCCAAATTTGAGAGCGTGAGGCATTCAACGACGTATATTTCTCATATCTCCCAATCCGGTCTCTGTCATCCAGGATCTTATTTCTTGAATCTTTCTTTTTATTACAGGTCCGCTCCTTTTCTTTCAGGGTCGGGCTCCTCCTTCTCGGTCTCATTCTTTTTTCCTTCTTCGGATTGCGCATTTGCTATCTCCATTTGCTCTAGTTCTAGGTACTTCTTCGAACGAGTCCTGAATTCCTCCACCGTCTTCACTGAGTCTTTATAGACCGACTTGGCTAGCCTAGATGCTCCTTCCAAGCCAGCCATAATGAGATGTACGTGGACATTTTCTTGCAAACCCGGCACCTGCAAGGCAGCATCCTTGAACCGGTTGAGGTACCTCTGGAGGGTTTCTCCAGGTTGTTGTCGTACCTTTCCAAGTGCGAACTCGAATTTGGGATGTTTTTTGCTTGTTGCAAAATTCAGGAGGAACTTCTCCCCAAATTCCTCAAAAGACCGGATGGAGTTGGCAGGTAAGGTTGAGAACCAAGCCTGCATAGCCCCAGTCAAAATTATGGCAAATATCTGGGATATGAGAGGCTCATCTATTCCTCGGATATACATGTCCGTATCAAAAGCATCTATGTGGACCTATGTGTCTTGACTTCCGTCATATTTCGGTAGACGTGCCGAATCAAAATCCTCCGGGAAAGGAGCATTTAAAATCTCCCCAGTAAAAGGGCTGTTATTATACTACCCCCTACTATATTTCCTCCTGTAGCCACCGGGTTCCACGCGCCCTCTGATGATTTATGCATTCTGGTTGGGGTGCATTCCATCCTGGCATCTCTGTCCATTTGCTTCTGCTGAAGTGTTCTGGGTTAGGGTCTGCACAGGAGCATTCTGGTCACCCATTGGAAGGTTCTCCAGGTTCGGGTTTAACATGCTCACCGGATTGGGCCTTTCTCGGTTTTCCGCCTCAATGATCCGGTTTTGATGCTCCGAGTTGCGATTCCCTTCACAGCCATTAGCATCTTGGCCTTCGGTTCCTCTTGCCCCAGGTCCAGTCATCCCCATTAAGCGTTGTTCCAGATCCCGCATTCTCCTCGTATTTTCTTCCTGTATCCTTTGGAAGTCTTGTTGTCGCTAGAGGTTATTACGATTCTCCATCTCTGTCATTTGCTGCAAAATTGCAGCAAACGCGTTTTGAGCCAGCCAAGAGTCAGGATCTGCAGATTGGGCAACACGTGCAGCAAAATCCCCTGGATGTTGAGAGGGATTGTTTGGAATTGGGACCGCCACTAGGTTGCGGGGTGCTGGATTGGAAGTCGTGTCTGACACATCCTCACTGATATGAACATGATCATAATCCACATTGTTTCCAGACTGGTTTTGAGGTTGATTTACCTCTTCTAGGACTGGATCCAGCGGCTGATTCTGGTTTTGGGGTGGCTGTTGGCTATTGCTCCTTGTAAGAACTGCCGTCGTCAGTCAGAATTGTGGGAATATCAAATTCAAAGAGATGATTCCCCACAGAAGGTGCCAATGTTCTGTCTTAGAGACAGAGATGTCCAGCCCAATGGACTGGTGCGTTAATCTTGGATCTAGTGCCCTCTCCAAGGTATTTATAAATGAGATACCCTTGAGTCAAGCAGATCACTGTGCACAATAAACAAATAATGGCTTTGCCAAAAGGGGTGTGTGTGTGCACAATGACAGCATAACAGTAAGAGAGAGAGCGTAACGTATTTTTAGGGTTTACCTTGTATTTATAGAGGTTATCTGTGGGTAGTATGATATGGGCCTTTGGTGCCTCTGATAAGGGCTCAAGCCTGCTCGCTATACTGTCGTATTAGGATTAGTATCCTTGATGGATACTATCCGTAATTATAATTGATTCACATATTAAATTGCCCATTATTGAGTCTGTCATTCAATGGGCCCCTTATACGAGTCCATAACAAAAATATTTAGGTATGAATAGTGATGAACTCTTCTTACATCGGTTAAAAATGAATAAAGTAAGAACCGTATGAATGCATACTTATATCTATAAAATTTTGGGTTTAAATATGATGAAAACTCCGATGTCATCCCGGTAAAACCAAAATGTTAAAATTCGTTCACGGGTGCACTAAACCTATGAATCAGTCCAACCAATGCTGGTCAAGCTGATCCCCCTATACAAACAACTCTATAAAAAGTATACATAACGGTGCAAAATCGGAAAAGCGTAGGTTCGTGTTTCTAAGAAAAAAAACACCAACAAATTTCGTCTCGTGAGCTTGCCTTGAAAAGTTACTCAGTACAAGCAAATAAAACCACTAAAATAGTTTGTTTCTAACAAAATCTTGTTCATAGTACTTTAGCTATTAGCATAATTTCAAGATATAGAAGAATCCGTCTACAAATTTTTTTTATAAATTACACTAAGTATGTCCAGTCATACACTCTTAATTAAAGTATGACCGGTCAGACTTAGTGCAGTTTGTAAAAGTTTGTAAATATAATCTTCCCCTAGCTCATTAGGTTGAAAGTTGTTCAATATTTTCACCAATCCACTGAAACATTGCAAAGTTTTTAAACTTTGATTTACATAAATAACCCCAGGGATATAGCATGCAAAAGGTGCACCATTACACAAAATGAAGTGTTAGTTAAATTAAAATCACATGCCATCCGAATGTGATAGAAGATCTATACACAAAAAATCTTAATACCCTCCACCTCATTTTCTGTACACTTTTATTCAGTGGTGAGACCTCAGAGGTTCACCCGGGACAAAAAAAAAATGTAACAGAATAATATCCAATGTTGTTTGACCCTTTTGTTGATTCATTTACAATTGGAAAAGGCTTGTGTAACTCTTAACAACATTGATCTACACTACACCATACATTAACTGTGACTATAATTAAAATATAAAAAAATCACAACTGTAGAAGGGTGACGATGGAGGGAGAAATGAACAAATTTCAGAAATCTGTAATTCCTTTAAGCAACAAAAAACCCTCCAACTAGTGTCCTTTGGTGGCCATTCTGGGTATGGATTATCAATATGCTGGTTAGTGCTGTCATCTCCTTAATCTGACTGCAATTTGAATATTCAGCTTCAAAACTAAACACTTAATTGTCCTCTACAAAAACTCTGAAGACGAAATCGCGAAACCGTCTTGAGTATAGCCTTGGATCAACAGCAGAGATTGAGGTTGGATCATATTGGAATGATTTGTAAGCATGTTCAAGCTTTTTACTAATATCATAGTCTTGTAATATGTCTATTATACCAAAAAAGATGACGATCTCATATAACTCCCCTGTTGGTTCTCCAACAAGCTGAGGAGTGTCACAAACACTTTTTCGCATAGTCGATTCAGCCCGCGCTGGCATGTTTATACCTAACTGAATCAACCTGAAACATGAAACAAAATACAGTGTTAGAGAAGTATAAAACCATTAATGTAGCCTCACCCAACAGCTTAAGCTTTTGAGTTTAATTGGTTCTTTACATGCAAATATGAAGAGAATCAAGGTATGATAGTGAAAGCTTCAGTATTGGTGCAAAATCAGCATTTATGCAGGTTTTAGGTGGAAAAAAAAGGTGTGAAGAAAATGTGAAGTAAAAGTATCAACAATGCATTCAGAAGCAATGCATGATATAATGGAAAGTAAACTGTCACATCTGAGTTAATTAGGATTGCTACATGTGTGATGCATCACCAAAATAGTATCAAAGCTAGATTTATTAAAAACTTGAAACTTTTCCCATGATGTGTTGATAGACTTATACCGACTAGGATCTGTTACAAGATGATCAACATCCACCCCAGAAAGACGAGGGGCTCCATCATCAATGTTGCCATTACCTGCAATACAAGTTCATGCATTCAGAAAAAATTCTTTTTGCAAGTAAAATTAAGAAAATCCATCTCAGACAAGATATTACTAACCAGTTGGGGTTTGGACACCTGAACTGCGACCCGAAGGTGTAATGTTGTCACTACATGATACTCCTCGAAAGTGAAGACCTACCAGCATACTGTAATCCATAATCCTCTCTTGTTCAAGAAAGTCACAGTCCCTATCCACTTGCCTGCAAGAAGGAATGTTAGAAAATATAACCAGGTTTTATTGACATAGCAGCTAATAAAATGTGCTTGATGAAACAAAAACTAGTATAGTGCAGTGTCCTACATGTTACACACACAGAGTACCTGCAGAATTCTTGAAACCAAGACTTTCGCAACCGGAATATATAATTTAGGTCAAGGTCCTTAAGTGTTGTTGTAGGCTCTATTTCTGACTCAGGTTTATCAGTTGTGCGACCAAAGGTTGAACCTTTTAAGTCAAAACGCCTATGGATGGGATATTGTGAACAGAATAGATTTCCCATGATGACAAATCGAACCTGAAATTTTTATCAAGTGAAGTCAAGTATAAATGTTTTTTTGTCAAAGCACAAGTTTATACAAACCTCAGCATTACCTTCTTTTGTGCAGCTCCTGTTAGTCTAACACAATGGAGGCCAAAGAACTTGGTGACTAGAGTGTTCTCAAAAGCCCGAACATGTTTGTAGTAACCAGGTAGCATTCTCAAGAAAACCTGCAACCATTTTATGTAGTTTTGGATGAAATAATTTTCAGTAGATAAATAAAATAAACTCTATTATGAAGCAGCAATTGAAAACTATCATACCAAAGTGACCTTGTTGCAAATGGCAACCAACTAAGTTTGAAATAGATTTTCTTAATATATAGTAGTTGTTGTTCTTTAGGATTATTCCATTACTGCTTGAACTTTCTAATTCTTGACAAGCAAGGTGATAATAGTGTATGGTTAGGAGAATTACAAAACCTCAAAGCATATATTATATCTAGCCAACTAAAGGGGAACTCACTTTTGTTTCTGATTTCTTCATGGTCTTTATCATGTATCGGTCATCATTGGTCAAATAAAAAAAACTTCCACTTTTTCCAGGGGATGAGAGCTCCCGAAGGGCTTCATCCCCACATAATGATATCATGTAATCAGCTGGATCTACCTTGAACAATTTTCTGAGAGCCCTGCAAATACAAATGCAATGACCCATCAGGATCTGTGAATTTGGATAAACAAATAAAGTTCTAATAGTCAGAGACTCTTGCAAATACAAATCTTCATGTTATTCCTAGAAGACCTTCATAAAAGCATGTCAAAAGAATGTTATAAATTATCAAGATAACACACGTTAGCAGATTCTGATACAAAAACATGGTTAACCAAATGAACAAATCAAATTTCCGTGGAATAAAACACAGAAAAAAAGAACCATTTAGTCTTGAGATTTTGTTCGAAAGCTTACCTGAACACTACAGGGCAGTAGTCTTTCCATCTAAACTCGCAAGATGGGTGAGGTGGCGTGTGCTTCGATCCTTCTGGTGGGAATTTAGTCCATACTTTTTCTTTGGGATCAAATGCAGAAGACTTCAAATCAAGAGATGTACTTGGAGCAGGTCTTCCAACAGCGTGTCTGTGCTGCCACAAGAAATTAACAACCATGCAGTTAAAATTAGAATCATGGAAGGAAATATGATTTTCCAGAATGCCATATTCATCATTGCCCCATTGGATGAAAGACATTTAAAGGAAGCCAATTCCTCACCCTAAAAGATACAAGCTATCAATCTATCACTCAACAGGAAAGAAAAAAGAAATGCTAAATGTTTAACTCGATGAGAGAAGAAAAAGCTGAAATAAACAAGATAAATAAGAGTAAATCCCAGGAAACCAACTATGATCAGTACCTGATACCTAGCTGCAGATTAAGCATGAGCTCATAGTTCTTATGCCCTTTAGATATATTCTCCCCCTGTCTCTTGGGAGCCTTCAATCTCAAATGTGGCACTCTTGGAACAGAATGATCAACCTGAGGACTCCTCCAGCCATCACAAGAATAAGAACCATCTTCAGAACTGTAATTACTAAGCCTTCCATCCACTGAAGGATACCTTGGCCTCCCACTAGCATCAGTTCCCTTCTTAGAAATTGGGCGCTTATCATCATCTAACCCAAGCATGTCCAAAGTCTTCTGTGAAGGATAAATTGACACCTTCTCACAAGGAAAAATATTGCAATCATTCAAGTCCACAGAGTAAAGGTCCTGAGGATCCCATTCCAAATTACCATCAGAAGAACCAGAAGGGTAATAAGTCCCACTTTGCTCCTTTGGATCTAAACTCCATACCCCAACATAGAAACTCCCATCAGCCCACCTGAATGTACCATTTCCTTTAGGCAAACCCTCTTCCCAACAACCATCATACCTATTACCATTGCACCACATCATTGTACCATTCCCATAAAAGGAACCATGCCTCCATTGACCAATGTAATGGTTCCCATTCTTCCATTGGTACCTCCCATGCCCATTCTGCATCCCCTTGCGCCATTCCCCATCATAGAAATCCCCATTAGGATAACTCTGAGTTCCCTGACCATGTCTCAAATCCATCACCCAACAACCTTTGTAGGTGTCCCCAGAAGAACCTATGTAAGTTCCTTTACCATCCATATATCCAATCTTGAAATCACCTTCATAGGTAGCACCACTTGGCCAGCTAAACCTACCCTTCCCGATGATGCTTCCTTTCTGCCATTCACCAACATACATGCACCCATCTATCCACAAATATTTTCCATGACCATGGGGAAAATTGTCAAGCCATTTACCTGTGTAGAAGTCACCATTGAAGAGAATCTTCTCAACCTGGTACACCTCTCCTTGCCTTGGCTCATCATCATCATCAACATGGGCAACAGACATTGGTGTGAAAATGCTTTTTGACCTTTTCTTTGGACCAGCTGATTTCCTAACTGCTGCTTCCCAAACCTTCACAATGCTGGTAAGCTCTTTGTTCATTCTTCTCTAAAGGTTTCAACTTTGTTCCACCCTCTCCCTCACACACCCTCACCTTTGTTTATTCACCTTCACCCATCAATGCCCACATGAAAAATCCCTGTCAATGTATAATCTTCTTCGAAAGCAAAGTTGCAGAAAGCATTTCTGCAGCAAACCCAGGAAGGAGAAGAAACAAACAGAATGAAAATAAAAAAATCAAAACCCAATGCCAAGTTTGTTTCTTTTCCCCAGATTTTCGTTCCTTATTTGGTTTGGTATAATGGGTTGTGTTCAGATTTTGAAAGAAACTTGTCGCTGTTAGATTGACAGGGAAAGCAAAAAGGTTGGTTGGAACCAGTAACTGGCTTTTCTTTTTTTCCCCTTTTTTTTTTGTCTTTGGTTTTTTTGTTTTGGCAAAAATTATTTAATTAATTAATTAATTTATTTTATTAACTTTCTTTTTTCTGCTTTTTGTTTGTTTTCTTTCTTTAGATGGTTTGGACCAAAGAGATTCAACTCATCATTCTAATGATTCCGAAAATGGCTCCTAAAAGTAATAGCAAACTAGACAATTGGAAGAATGAGAGGATCGTGGAGGAGAGGATGTCAATGCCATTCTTAGCAAATTAGTCCTAATTTTAGTTGTCGTTTTTTATATAAAATTTTAAGTTTTGCCTATTAATCATATGATTTTTATTTCATATTTAGGACAAAATATTTTCTCTCCAAATTTATTTTAAAACTTCCTACCAAAATCATTATCCACTGCTGTCTATTTTGGCATTGATTTGTGTGTGTGAGATAGTTATGAAAAAAAAAATGAAAGGTGGTGATTAAATCTGTCAAAGTGTGATTCTACTAACAGAACTCATTTTAATTTATACAACAAAGATTATTCTGAACTGTTACTATGTAGTGCCAATTTTTCCATGACTCTTTGATTACCTAAAAATAAAATATGTAAATTTCGGCTTTTGGTTATAAAAATGTAAGGGTCAATTTAGCATGCCCATAACTTATTCAATTTTTAACCAAATTGGATGTATAGGTATCAAATTAAAGCTTAGGATGTATGATTTCTTGTCCTAGAATATGAGAATTTTCTGGAAAGTGAAACATTCCCGGCTATGATTTGAAGTTTCTGCCCTTTTTCTGAAAGTCTGGTTTGAAGCAATTGATTTATGACACACGTATCTCAAGTTATACAAATCCAATTGAGCTTGTAATACGTCTTTAGAAATCTTGAGATGTCTAGTTTATCATAATAAAATATAAGGATTAATGGTGAACCGAGATAATACCAGTTCTGAAAACGATAAGGACCATTTAGTGTTTAGTTTAACAATTGAGTCTGTTTCTTTTGATTGTTCTTCAATGAAAGACTCTTAGATCTATTGTGATATTTAGTGATGTTTTAAGGGTAGGAGACCTTAAGGGAGTTAGATAATCTTTCCCATCATAATTTAGATTGCTTACTCATGTTTTGGAAGGAATAAATATACTTCTAGTGATTTGTGGTGCCTTGATAAATTTTAAGGGACATTAAGGTGTAATGCTTTTGGTTATAAAAATGTAAGGGTCAATTTAGAACGCCCATAACTTATTCAATTTTTAACCAAGTGGAATGTGTAAGGTATCAAATTAAAGCTTATGATGCCTACTTTCTTGTCCTAGAATATGAGAATTTTCAAAGAAGTGAAATATTCTCAGCTATGATTTGAAGTTTTTGCCCGATTTTCTGGAAGTCAGATTTGAAGCAGTTAGTTTGAGATAGATGTAACTAAAGTTATACAAATCCAATTGAGGCTTGTAATATATCGTTAGAAAGCTTGAGATGTCTAGTTTATCATAATTAAATATGAGAATTAATGGTGAATCGAGATAATACCAGTTCTGAAAATGGTAAGGACTATTCAATGTCTAGTTCCACAATTGAGTCTAGTTCTTTTGATTGTTCTTCAATGAAAGATTCTTGGATCTATTGTGATATTTAGTGATGTTCTAAGGGTAAGAGACCATAAAGGAGTTAGATAATCTTTCCCATCATAATTTAGATTGCTTACTCATGTTTTGGAAGGCATAAATCCACTTCTAGTGATTTGTGGTGCCTTAATAAATTTCAAGGGACATTAAGGTGATTAGTATATCTAACCCCAACATTACATAATGTCTTAAAGTGACTACCCTTTTCTTGTGGCTTTGTAAATCCTAAAGTCTTATGGATGTGAAAAAAATGATTGAATGAATAAACTATTTAGAATGTGAGATGTTTAAGTAAAAGCATAAATATTTTTGAGTAAGTACGAAGTAAGTAAAGTATATTGCAATGCATAATGAAGAAAAGCTAAAGGGTAAGTTTGCATATTTACCTAGGTGTAATTGTGACTCTTATATTATAGTTTTTGCTTTATTAATCAATAATTTTGTGCTTAATATCATAAGTAATGTTAACAAATCGAGAGCTCACGGGGTGTCATAGTAAGGGTTGTTCAGTGCTTAATACAAAGGTAGAGTTCGATTCTTTTGACTGTTCTCTAGTGGAAGGACATATAGAATTTATTGTGCTATTCATTGATGTTTTAAGGGTATTGGGCCATTGAGGATTTAGATAAATCTCTTCCATCATGTTTTGGAGTCCTAACGTGAGTACCCATTATTTAAGGGTGGCTAGCGTTTTAAACCATGGTAAAGAGAATTAAATAAGTGAACTTATGAATCATATAAAGTATAAATGAGTAAGTTGAGGGTAATATCATATTAAAGGAAAACAAAAAAGTTAACTCACACTTTTGTACACGGTTAATGACTGTCATTAGTGTAAGTGGAAAACCAAAGAGTTTTCTTAGCATTAATGAATAATTATGTTGCACTTAGTTACAAAAGAATAATATATGGAACGAATGCATATGGCAAGTTATGCTAACTACCAAAGGTAGTTCTCGAGCATTATTGCCTACAATGGTAAACAAGTTAATAGCTTAAAAGGAGTCACCATCAACTATAACTTTTTTAAGGCCAAGGCACCAAACAAACTCCAAGCCTTGAAGTATTGTCTATAATTCTACTTGAATCGAGAGCAGATTCCCAAGAAGAAGGAGAAGTCACCCATCAAATCCCCACTAGAATTGCAAATGATACCACCATAAGCAGCTTTATCTTTTGAAGTAGCCCTATCAACATATAATTTCAACCAATCTTGTTGAGGTTGAGACTAGAGATTTGATTCCTCTGTATAAGTAGGTTGATCATTTCCTTCCTTGGGATTATGGCAAACTAGGTTGATGTCAGTCATACACTTTTGAATCTCACTTGTTTCATTACCTAGTTTTACTTACTCACTCTCATGAATTTCTTTATTTTGCCAATGCCAAAGAAACTAACAAGTTACAAAGAAGTAATCCCTCCAATCTATTAGCCTTCCACCAACATGAGCAATATTCATTTTCAACCAACTTAGAAGATCATGTTTATAACACCTCATAGTTTTAAAATCACATAATTATAGTTAGAATACAGATTAAAGGGTAGGATCAGTGAAAATCCTCAATTCGGAGTCAAAATACGTAAAAAGGGTAAAACGGTAAATTATCAAAAACGTAACCCTAGGAAATGAAATGTGATTAGAAGGTCTCAGATAGGAAAAATAACCCTGGAAATGGATTCAGAACGAAAAATTGAGTGGTTAGACAAGTTTCTGAAAATTTGATGAATTGTGTTTTTACCGGATAAAAATACAGCGGTATAGTTGCATCAAAAAGTGTGCCGAATGAATTTTGAGCTCTAGGTTTGAAAATAAGTTGGAAATGATTTATAGGACTAAGATTTTTTATTTCTGATGAAAATTGATTGAAATTAGGATTTTTGGGGAAACGTGCCCACAATGCACATAACAACTTAAAACTGTGATTTCACCGAACAATCGAAAAACTCTGGATTCATCTGCTTAAGGGAAATTAAAGGACATTGATGAATGTTAAAATTTGAAGTTTCTAAATAGTTTAGGAATTAATTAAAGTTTAGTGGTTTAAGCGGAAGATTTGAATTAATTTGAATTGCACGAGGTGACAGTGGGACCCACCCCACTTAAGTGCATTAAAGACACATGTGCATTGAGCACTATTCCTCCTTCTTCTTCCTCTCCCTCTCTGCACACCCAGCGGCTTCCCCTTTCATTGTGCAAGTTTTTCTTCTTGATTTTCCTCCACCAAATCTCTACCAAAACCAAAGATGCACTACATCAAACTTTAAGTAAAATGCATTCTAAATCCAACCATACTACTCTCAAGTCTTGAAACCTCTAGTTTGAGATAAATTTGAGACCCATTGCCATGAATTTGTGAGGAAAACTTGGTGTTCTTGGAGTTGTTTGATCAACCATTGCTTGGGTATTGTGTGGAGGAGTCTTAGGCTTTAATCCTTGGTAAGTTTCAACACATTTCATTTGATAATTTGGTTGATTAATTTCATGATCCCTAGAGCATGGGTATGTGAATTGATGTGGTTGGGGACCTCAAATTGAAAATGTGTATTAGATAAACGTGTCTTAGAATGATATTTTATGATGATTGAGCTCATAAAATTTATTGAGGAAAAGTGTGAAAACTTAGGCAAATTTTGTGGTGGATATGCATGACTTTGTGAATATAGGTTGTTGTGTGATTGCATAATTGAGTTGTGGAGTAGTTGTATTGGTTAATTATAGGATTTTATGATGTGTGGAAGTGTGGAATTGAATTGAAAACCCTTTGGTATGCATGCAAACACAATTCAACCTATTAGGGAAAATAAGGAAAATATGATGAAAAATTGATGTAATTGGTGTTGTGAGGATTGGAGCTAAGTTTAAATAGGTTGTGTGTTGGTGTGATGCATGTGAATTGGAAGCAAAACCATTGGATGTTTGTGGATGTAATTTTCGACCATAATGAGGAATTTTAGGG